GTGAAAAACCTGGCTTCAAACTTGCCAATCCTGGTAGAGGTTATGGTTATATCCATGGCTTCTTTTTAAAATTTTTTTATTATTCTATTGTAAATTATGTGATCGTTTACACATAATGGAAGAACATTAGTTTTACATTCATCCTATCGTATATTGTTTCATTACCATGGTTACAATCCCTCCATGCATCATCAACCAACCAAAAGGTATATCCTACAAGTCTGCCCCCCTCCCAACTCCGCCCCCCGGTCATCAGCACACAGCCCCTCTCCCTCTCTGGGTTTAAAGTCCCCAGCTGCTCCATATCTCCATGTCATCGTCTCGGCCTCCATCTCAGGCATCACTGCTTCTCTGGGTAGGGTCCCACTCTCCTCTCTTCTCCCTTCATGGTCCCAGGGACCTCCACTCCTAGACTGTAAAGTTAATCACGCCCCTCCTTGCTACAAAACAACTACCTTTACATTTCCAACCCTCACAGTCAGTCCTGATAACAACTATTCACTATTGTATCACAAGTGACCTAGCCCCATCTCTTTTCATCAGCCCCGTCCAGACAGATTCGATACTACTCAATGGAGATTCTACCTCCCTCTGCGTCCTCCGGATCTAGGTTCCCTCTTGAAAGCTTGTAAGCCAGTCACTTCTTGCCTTTGTAGCCACCCACCCCCCCTTTTTGGGTAGCCAATGTTGAAGATGCCCATCCCTGGCTACTCTGTGTATGTAGGGGGTGGGAATGATCCTCACTGTAAAGATTTGTTCCCTCTTTTGAGCTACTGCATCCAATAGGTATAGGTCAACTTCATCAAATTGTATCAGATTACTCTTTTTTTCCTCTTCTTTCTTTTTCTAGTTGAGTTCTGATCATCCAGCCATTTTGAAGCCAGGTCAAATGGGTATTATCTGCAAGTGTGGGTGTTCTTGTGCATATGCCCTCTCTTCTTATCAGCTAGACGCTTCACACTCCACTCTACTCCTCTGTAGCTATGTCACTGACTCTGGGCATCCATGACTTCTTGACCACCACCTAGCACCATATGATCATAGTTGGGAGAAAGGCAACTGAGTTGGCAGGATGCTCTATCTGGAAAGTCTTCTGGTGTTCACGGGTTGTGGAATCTAAGAGCTTGGATGTGTTGCCCTTGGATGCGGTAACAAACATGGTCATGTCTTTGGATAACCAGATGCCAATGATTTGCCAGGAGTGCTCCTTAATAATCACTAACACCTCTCCAGACTTGGCACTGAACTGGTTGAGCTCTCCGCTCTCGTGGCCTGCAATAATGCACTTTCCCAAGGGTCCCCAAACAGCACTAGTTATCTTAGAATCATTGCAATGGATCTTCACGTAGGGCTCGCTGCTGTTGATCTGGCTTAGGTCCCGTAGGTCAAAGAAGCTCACAAAGCACTGATGGCCCATCTGCTTGTCCATGGAGAACATAATGATTTTACTCCCAAAGTCAAAGCCACAGGTCTGGACAGCGGAGTTGGTTTTGAGTAGAGCTTGCTGCTTTCCTGTTTCACAGTCCCAGAGACAACACCTGTTGTCAGCTGAGCCGGTGAGGACATACTTGGTGTCTGAGTCTGCGTCCACACACCACACAGCTCCAGTGTGGCCACTGTAGGTGTCCAGCCTCTCCCCATTCACAGAGTACCATACCTTGACAGTAGGGTCCTTGGCCACGGTGAAGAGGTGGTCTCCCTTGCAGTTGTACTTGATCTGCGTAACGGACCGCTCATGGCCTTGCAGTAGAATCGGCTTCGTGCCGGCGGTAATGCGAGGAGACCTGAGGCTTGAATAGGCTACGCAAAGGCTTTTGATTTTGTGGATTATGACAAGCTACGGACAACATTGAGGAGAATGAGTATTCCATAACACTTAATTGTGTTCTTGAGGAACCTGTACACAGACCAAGAGGCAGTGGTTTGTACACAACAAGGAGATACTGAATGGTTTAAAATTACGAAAGGTGTGCGCCAGGGTTGTATTTTTTTTCACCATACTCAATCGACCTGTATGTGGAACAAATAATCCGAGAAGCTGGGTTATATGAAGAACGTGGCATCAGGATTGGAGCAAGACTCATTAACTACCTGTGATATGTAGATGATATATAACTTTTCTTTCTGAAAGCAAAGCGGATATAAAATGCTTACTGATGAAGACCACAACCATTAGTATGTATTGCACCTCAATGTAAAGAAAACAAAATTCTTTACTACTGGACATTTAAATAAGGGCAAGATAAATGGAGAAAAGACTAAAGTTGTCAAAGACTTCATTTTGCTTAGATCAACCATCAACCCTCATGGAAGTAGCAGTCAAGAAATCAAATGACATACTGCATTAGGCAAATCTGCTGCACAAAACTTCTTTAAAGTATTCAAGAGTTAAAGATGTCAGTTCAAGGACAAAGGTGCACCTGACTCAAATCATGGTATTTTCAGTAGCTTCATATGCATGTGGAAAGTTGGACAGTGAAAAAGGCAGACCATGTAAGTTATGATGTTGGAGAAGAATATTGAAAGTACACTAGACTACCAGAACAACAAACAAATTTGTGTTGGAACACACACAGCCAGGATGCTCCTAAGAAGACATGATGGCCAAACTTCAATTCTCATACTTTGGACATATCATGAGGAGGGACTGGTGCCTGGAGAAGGACATCATGCTTGATAAAATGGAGGATCAGTAAAAAAGAGGAAGACCCCTAACAAGATGACTGGCACAGTGGTACCAGCAATGGGTTCAATCAAGCATAGCAGTGATGGTGACATTCGCGAGAGACCAGCCCGTGTTAAGTTCTGTTGTGCACAGGGTCGCTATGAGTCGGTACCAACTTGACGGTACCTAACAACATAATCAATGCCCAGGGCAATAGCAGTCAAGACATCAAATGATATACTGCATTAGGTAAACCTTCTACAAAGAACCTCTTAAAAATGCTGAAAAACTAAGATGTCACTTTGAGAAGAATTGGTACATTTGAATTATGGTGTTGGTGAGTAATACATGGACTGTCAAATGAATAGACAAACCTGTCTTGTCAGAAAAACAGCCAGAACAAAAAAAAATTTTTGTTATTGTTAAGTACCGTTGAGTCAGTTCCTACTCATAGCAATATTGCATAGGGTTTCTGAGGAATGGGTCACGGTTTGAACTGTCGACCCTGTGGTTAGCAGTCCAGAGCTTATCCTACAGCTCCCCATCAGGACTCTGGAAGCAAAGATGGTTAGACTTTATTTCACAAATTTCAGATGCTAACAGGATGGACCAGTCCCTCAAAAATGACATTATGTTTGGTTATGTAGAGGGTCAGTCAAAAAAAGGAAGACCCTCAACAAGATGGACTGGTACAGTGGCTGCAACAATGGGCTTAAACATGGAAATGATTTTGAGGACAGTACAGGATCAAACAGTATTTTGTTTTGTTGTTATGAATTCAAATAGACTTGGTGGCACCTAACAACAAAGAACATACCCAACAATAGCAGAATACACACTGCTCTGAAGTATACACAGAATATTTATTTACCAAGAAGATAGACCAAATTCTGAGCTATAAAACATCTCAATAAGTTGACTCAAATCAAGCAAAGTTAGTTCTCTGAACATACAGAATTAAATTAGAAACAATATCTCAAAATAGGCTATTAAGAAAAATTTATTCACCAAGTAATATTAACACTATGTCATGGATTCCTGGTGTGGCACTAATCATGTTATAGAATCCTGGGGTGGCACTCTAGAGTAAGCGGTGGACTGCAAATTACAAGGTCAGTGATTCAAACTCAACAGTCACTCCTTGGAAACCCTATACAGGGTCACCATGAGTGAGAACTGACTTGACGGAACTTAACACAACAGTTATATCATGGAGATGAAAATGAAAGCTTAGGAAGATCATCGTAAGCATATTTTTATTATATCTTTGCAATGTTTCACTAGTACAAAAAGCACATATTCCTTTTTATAAAATAATAAAAAAAGGCATTTAAAAAGCCTTTTAAGAGTTTTCTGAATCCTTAAAATAAATCCCCTTTTATCCTTGAAGTGACTTGAGTCAACTTTGGTATCTTAAAGTCATATGAATCATGAATAAAACAATCAAACACTATGATGTATTTAATAATTCCTCTAGTACTGAACATTTAGGTTGTTTTCCATTTTCTAACATACATAACTAATTGAGCTACAATGATCTATGCTCATGTTCCTGCTTAATTGTCTACCCTCAACGTTCCCAAAATTCCTATCCTCATTTCTCAGCCTCTTATGCCCTTGTATCTGGAAAACAAACACGAGCTACTGTTTATTTTAACTCACTAATTTATACCTCCTTTGATCTAATTTCTTCAGAGTAGAAGCCTACTCTAAACAGTCATTTAGCCTGTTGCAGTGATGAAAGCAACAAAACATCTGATTAGCTCTTTATCTCTGCTTCAGATTCTAGAGGATTCACCTTAGTCTACATCCAAATGTAATATGAAATATCTGATTTATCAAGCAATTTTTTAAATTAGTAATTATTAATTACCAAACATAGCATTCAAGAACACTAGTAGGTTAAAGACATTTAAAAATGAGATCTTTTTTCTAATTGTAAAAGTAAAACATGCTCACTTTGAAACTGTGTATAAAAAATGTACAGAAAACATATTTACATTTTTTCTTTTAATGTGACTAAATCTTAATATGTATGTCAAGATTTACAACCTGCTTTTCTCACCTAATTACATTGTATGTATTTTTCAATGTAATAAAATATTTATAAATATCATAGTTGTTGTTGTTAAATGCCATCAGTTCCAACTCCTAGAAACCCTGTATAGGGTTTCTGAAGAATGGTTGGTGGGTTTGAACTACCACCACATTTTGATTCCAATTGACCTTGTGGTCCTACAGCACCACACCAGGATCACAATAGTAACTTTTAATGTATTTCCTAAGAGGAAAATAATTACAGTTTGAAATTCAGAAGGATATGTTTATATCTTACCAGAAGTCCTAGGACTTTCTGTTGAATGGATGACTCAGTTGGGAAAGACTGTAAAACAGAAAGAGAAATCTATAATTACATAAAGAACTAAATATAGTAAATAAATGTTTAAATAAAGAAACCAATATATGTTAAAACTGTAGACTAAATTCCCATTCTAACCTCTAGGACCCTCATGAAGAGTTCTAACCCTTGATTTTCAATAAAGTGTCTGCAAGTGGTTGGGGATTCATCTGTGAGGTTCCAAAGTGCACTCAATGTAAACTTCAAAGTAGTGTCCACCGAATTTTGATTGGTTTTCTGCTTCACTATTTGAAGAAGTTGCTGAAAGAAGAAAAAGAAAATAGGATTAAGTTCTCATTACTGAATTGAAATAACCACAGTTCCATGAGGAATACTTTTAATGGTTTAAACCAATTTCTTTAAAGGTTCTTATTAGTACACTAAACAGATCTTGGACTAGTCTTTCTTCAAATAGGAAAAAAAAAATACAGTTTTCATAAATAGATTCTTAGTATTCTGACCAACCCTACAATCAGATTATCTCTAGATAACACTTAAAACCAAAATGTTAAAAAGTTCGGACAACTGTATTACACAATTAGTCACAATATACACTTATTTCAGATCCTGGGATAAAAAAGATGGAGAGAAAAGGACATATGAACTAACATTTATTAAGCATCAGTAAACTATATCCTATGCCATAGTACAGTTAATCCCACTTGTCAGGAGAGGTACTTGAGCACAAGAAATGTTAAGTAATTTGATCATAATCCCTCAACTTTGTAAGAGACAGAAAATATTGGAAGACCTCTTCTACCTAGCTACAAATTTTCCTTAAGAAAAAAAGAAAGGATAAACTATGTACACTAGTAAGAGAAATAAAGTCTAGATTGGATGTAAAGAAGATAATAACTTGAACATTTGTAAACTATTTATATCACAGTTTTTATCTAGGAAATTTACATTTAAAAGGTAATCTCATCATTTCCACTTTTAGATTATAGAACTCTTCTAAAACAGATATAAGAAAACATTATTGAGTACTATTCTCAAAGATAATAGCATCCTGGTATGGTGTTGTAGGATAAGCACTCAACTGCAATGTCAGTTTGAACGTCAAGGTTGGCAGTTCAAATCCACCAGCTACAACTCTGAAAATCCTATACCAGGTTGCTATGAGTCTGAACCAATTTGATGGCACTCAACAATAAGAACAACAGTTATCAAAGGTGGGATCTTTGTGTGGCACTGTAGGATAAGCACTGGATTGCAAGGTCAGTTGAACTGCAAAATTGGCGGTTCAAGCCCACCAGTTGCTCCTCAGAAACCATATACAGGGTCACTATGAGCCAAAACTTAACAGCACTTAATAACATCATTATCAAAGGTAATACGCAATCCATGAAAAATTTTAAGAAACACAAATATCTAAGTACAATAGGTAACTCAATAGCTTAATGGTCAAAAGGGCACTACTATAATCAGGCTATGGTGGTAGTTGTGTGACATGGAGTTGGTTCCAATTCATAGCGATCCTGTATAGAGTTGCCGAGGTTATAAATCTTTATGGGACCAGAATGCCTCATCTTTCTCCAGCTGTGTGACTGGTAGATTTAAATTGCTGATACTGCTGTTTGCAGCCCAATGGCAATGCACTTCACTACCAGGGCTCCTTCAGACTGGCTATATTTACATATGATTTCTGTCTCTGAAAGATAGTTTACCTCTTTAATTATTTGTCTACTCCTTTATAAATTAAGATGTCAAAAAAAATGTAAGTTTAGTTTCCACTATTATCATCATTACATCTTGTTATTAGTTGCTATTGAAATGATAATAACTCATGGCACTCCCAAGTGTTACAGAGTAGAACTGCTTCAGAAACAGGATTTTCTAGGCTGTATTCTTCATAGATGAAAATCATGGGGGATTATTCTTCCAAGCTATTGTTCAGTGGGTTTGAACTGCCAACCTTTCAGCTGGCAGTGAAGTGCAAATAGTCTGCACCACCTACAGGCTATTCATTATTACTACTACTAGTTATTCTTGTTTAAATGAAGCTTGATTTCCTCCCAAAGCATGTGAGTACACTAGTTCCTTAATTTTTTTTCAATTTTTATATCTTTAGTCAAAATTCCACCACTGATCTGTCAGTTTGTCATTGTGGTGGTTTGCATGCTGCTGTGATGCTAGAAGCTGTGCTACTGATTTTTAAATACAAGCAGGGTCACCCATGGTAGACAGGTTTCAGCTGAGCTTCCAGACAAAAACAGAGTAGGAAAAATGAGATATGGATTACCTCAGAGTGTTTACTCAATGGAAACCATATGAACAACAGTGGAACACTGACAGCACCAGAATAATGAATATTGAAACATGAACAAGAGCACCAGACTATTATCAGATATAGTGTCGGAAGATGAGCCCCTCAGGTTCATCTTCATCATCAGAAGATGAGGCATGCAAAGTGTGACTGGAGAAGAGTTGCCTCCTCAAAGTAGAGTTAACCATGGTGACACAGATGCAGGAAATCCTTTAGGACCTTCATTTGCTGAAAGGTTACAGTTCAAAATGAAGTAAAACAGCTGTAAAACCCCACTAATCATTAGAACATGTAATGAATGAAGTATGAATCTAGAAAAACTTGAAGTTGTCAAAAATGAAATGGAATGCATAAAGATCAACATCCTAGGCATTAATGAGCTCACATGGACTGGTATTGGCTATTTTGAATCTGACAATCATATGGTAACTAAGAATAATAAATTGAAGAGGAATGGTGTTGCATTCATCATCAAAAAGGAAATTTCAAGATCTATCTTGATGCATAATATAATATCTTGAAGCTGTCTGTGATAGGATAATATCCATATGCCTTCAAGGAAGACCAATTAATACCACTACTATTCAAATTTACACACCAACCACTAAAGCCAGTGATGATGAAATTGAAGAATCTTACCAACTTTTGCAGTCTGAAATTGATCAAACATGCTATCAGTATGTACTGATAATTACTGGTGATTGGCATGCAAAAGCTGGAAACAAAGAGGAAGGATCAGTAGTTGGAAAATACAGCCTCTGTGACACAAACAATGCTGGAGATTGCATGATGGTATTTTGCAAGACCAAACACTTCTTCACTGCAAATATCTTTTTAAAACAACATGATAATTACTAAACACATGGACTTCACCAAAAGGAATATACAGAAATCATGCCTGTGGAAAGATATGGTGAAAAAGCTCAATACCATTAGCCGAAACAAGACCAGGGGCGGACTGTTGACACAGTCCGTCAATTGCTTATATACAAGTTCAGGCTGACAATGATGAAAATTAAAACAAGACCACAAGAGTCAAAATATGACCTGGAACATATCCATCTGAATTTAAAGATCATCTCAAGAACAGATTTGATGCATTAGACACTAATGATAGAAGAGTGGAAGAGTTGTGGGATGACATCAAGAACATCATAAAGGAAGAAAGCAAAAAGTCATTAAGAAGACAAGAAAGAAGGAAAAGATCAAAATGGATGTCAGAAGAGACTCTGAAACTTGCTCTCCAGCATAGAGATGCTAAAACGCAAATGTAAGAAAGGAGGAGGTAAAAGAACTGAACAGAAAATGTCAAAGGGCAGATAGAAAAGACAATGTCAAATATTAAAATGAAATGTGCGTGGCAATGAAATGATATATGATAGAATGAATGTAAAACTAATGTTCTCCCATGTAAACTATCATATAATTCACAATAAAACATTTAAAAAAAAATATACAACAACCTAAGGTTAGAAAACTGAAAGTGAAGACCATGCCCAGCATTTCTCAAGTTGAAGGAACTGAAGGAAAAAATTCAACCCTAGACTTTGAATATTGAAGGATTCTATACCAGCCGTTCTGTGGGAGAAAGATGAGGCTTTCTGCTCCTGTAAAGATTTACAGCCTCGGAAACTCTATACAGGGTCGCTGTGAGTTGGAACTGACTCCACGGCACACTACCACCACCACTGTAGGTGAAATACAGAAAAATACAGAAAGCTACAAAAGAAAATAAAAGGAATAAGCAGAGTCACTGTACCAAAAGTAATGATTGATGTTCAGTTATTTTAAGAGGTAGCATATGATCAAGAGAAAATGGTACTGAGGGAAGAAGTCAAAGGTATACTGATGGCACTGGCATAGAACTGGAAACTGATGGACTTTAAACCTAAATCTTGCACAAACGAAAGCATCACTGGAGGCACTCACTCATCTCTGCCAAGAAATTTGGAAGACAGAGCTACCTGACCACCTGATTGGAAGAGATCCATACTTGTGCCCATTCCAAAGAGGGGTGACTGAAGAGAATGCAGAAATCATTGGATAATATCATTAATATCAAATGCAAGTAAAATTATGCTAAAGATAACTTTAAAAACAGCTGCAACAATACATTGACAGGGAACTGTCAGAGATTCAAGCTGGATTCAGACAAGGGTGTAGAATGAGGGATATCATTACTAAAAGAATACCAGAAAGCTGTTGACCTGTGCTTTATTGACTATGCAAAGGCTTTTGACTACGAGGATCATGACAAACTATGGACAACAATGCAAAGAATGGGTACTCCAGAACACTTAATTGTGATAGAGAGGAATTTGTACACAGACCAAAAGGCAGTTGTTCGAACAGAACAAGGGGACACTGAATGTTTAAAATTAGCA